ATTATTATGTTTTCTGGGCGCATTTTTATTAGATTTTGGTAAAGAATGAAGGCTGGATTGGAATGCATTGAAAACCTTTTGGGTCCCGGGATGGCAAAAGCCAAACCGTAATCAAAACCCTAACCTTAACATGCAGCATCAAAAAGATGGCTCACATTGCACTGTGCAGTAAGATTATTATTTTTTCTGTTTGTAGCCTTCTGGTTGACGCTGGTAGTAACACAGCGCCGGGCTGTGGCCTTTGCACATCGTGTTATGAAGGCTCGGTTCTAGTCGCGTTTTGGGTTTTGACGCAGGGTGCGCGCACACCATCGCCGGCGGTGTAGGCCTTCATACTTGGCACTTGGTCTACGTTGTTGTAGTACTTTATAGCTCATGAAATGTTGTGAATAGGAGAGCTACAGCTAACGAACAAACAAATGTGTGAATGGTGCGTGGCAAACCCAGCCTTTGTGGAGAACTTTTAGCGCGCGCACCCTTGCGCCATGTTCCAACGTGTTAACTATACCAGGCTATRATCTCAATTAAGGGAGATGTCCATACATTTAACCCAAATCTCAGGTTTTGGTTATCCCGTGCGAATGTGCCACATAAAAAACACAGATGTCGAGGAGTTATTCATTTATTACATAGGGTCCCTAGATAATGCGTATCCTGTGCGAGTAGGGCTTTATTCTAGAAACTTCATCTACAACAGCTTAAAATATTTATTTAAAACAGCTTCTTGAGCTTTTCTTGTCTCCATGTCTCTTATATCCATTTATCTGTCTGGCACCAACATTGTTCTGTACATCTGATCACACTGATGTCCATATGCCTGATCTTTTTTTTTGTTTTCTCTTTTTTTCTGTAGTTCTCTCACTGAACCTCCATTGTGCTCCTGTCAGTCTCAGGTAATATGATCCCAGACTTATGTGCTTATTTTGAGCACAATACCCTTTTAAATGTGGATTCTGCAGTATATAATATTTCAGTCACCTTTGTCCTTGACAAAAGTTCATCTGCATCTTTGTGCTCGTCGTTGTCAGTGTCATGTACATGCTCTGCTTGTTTCGTTTAGGGCATCTACGTGAGCCTGCTATTCATTAACGCCCCTTCTGCTCGGCTGATGCGCTCCATTCATCTCCACTTCAAAACTTTTTCCTCATTTTCCCGTATCCGTCTGACTCTCCATCACTCTGGAGTATCTGGGCCCGTCATCTCTTCATTCCTCAAGACGATGGATGGTTTCCTCCAAAGATGACTGATCACAGCACCGCTTTCATTTCTAACTCCAGACACACGCATTTCAGAATGCTACATGTGAAAGCCATTCTCGAGSAGCAATGCTGTCAAACCACATCAAAGGTAAATTCCTGAGCAATAATAACCACTTCAATTAACCTCCGAGGCTGTAGTTATTGAAAAATATATTTGGGGCCAGTGTGCTGTGTGTCTTATTATAGCTGCATCATTAAACTTCCCCTAATGAAATATTTCATGCTTTGGCAGTTTTTAATCCAAACGATTCCTAGAACGGTGTGCTAATTCAGACAAACATTACTGCCATCCACTCTAATGCCAGTAAGCAGTCATAAGCTGCCATTACCAAACAGAATGTTTGAAATATACAGTGTTGCCAGCAGGCCAGACTGAAGTACTTTTTGCAACCAGCCATGTTCAAATACCGGGATGCTATCATTCTAAAATGATTTATACATTTTTGTCATCCTTTGTAGAACTTCTACATTGAAATTACGGCAGCTGGTAAGCCTATGTGGTCTCCCATCGAGTTACTAACCACGCCTAATCCTGCTTAGCTTCTTAACTCAGACGAGATCTGGCGTGGTCAGGGTGGTATTCACAAGTCGTACAACATTTTAGTGCCGTTGTTGGTTCTACAGAGACCGGCAAGTGTTAGATGTTGAACTGAAAACAAAAATTAGGGAAATCCAATCCCAAAATTTATTTAACTTGTACATGGATTTGTGATTAATTCCCTCGTTTTAGTTATTTAGCTTGCACAGATTTCCCGAAGAACATCATTCTGTTAAAGAACAATAAACAAATGCTCATACATGTCAAACCCTTTGGACGTTTACCTGTATAAAGAGCCACAAAATTCGGTGTTTTGCTAAAAATCCATACAACTCACACCCTCTGACTCTCTGAAAGCGCCTGCTGCAAAGCAGGAGGAAAGGAGAGTGGAAAAAGTGCAGAACTTATTTCTAGTGGCAGAACAGGTTGRAAAATGGTTATTTGATGTTATTTATTGTTTTTTTTTTTTGTCATCCTACAGACTCTGACATGTTAAATAAATTTGAAAATGAGGTTTTAAAAAAATCCGTAAGACTTACAAAAATCYGTGAGATTGCTCTATACATTCGTATATCTGCAAAATGACAAAATCCTTATAACTTACGGACAATCCATACAACTTGACATGTACTGTATGGATGCTTGTTTGTCTTAAGCAAAGTTTGAAAAATCGACCTCCTGACTTAGTAAACATCAGCTCCTGTCAGTATAACTCTTACCACTATACATGTACAAACTAACTAGTAGGCCACACTCTAGAACCTGACTTTTAAACAAGTCCCACTCAAACTTAATGAATACTGAGAAACTGTCTGCAAATGATCCCAAGTAAAAATAATAAGAAAAATCTCAAATGAACTAAAAGTAACAGCTGTTGGCAACATGTCCTTTGTGATGACTGAATACTACAGCATAATGTTGTAATTTGTTACCATCTTTGAACCTTTGTTTTATATCAGATGTGTATTGATTTCTGTTTCTCCATTAAAAATATCTTCCTGACCCCAAGCTCTGTGCTGAACACACACCTGCTTGCTATACATAGACACTATTGCAAATTCCCACATAAGAACTGAGGAAACAGATTTCTCTTTTATCTTGACCCTTGGYGCTTGTTATGTATTGCATGTTCATAAATCTGGTGCCATCACTCTTCACACAGTGAATACACATGAACCCCAAATGGAATAATTAGCCAGCCTGAACACTATCTGTGTGATTTAAAACACACACTCCTACACTTTGTGGCTCTTAAAAAAAGCACAACCATAATTGGCCTTAAGAAACTGTGTTAAAACATGCAGGATTCTCCTTTCAGAAAATCACGCTTACTGAAAAAAAAAAAAAAAAAAAAAAAAAAAACCTTGACCAAAAAGACATTCATCAAAGCAAATCACAAAAACAGAAAACCTTGAAGAGAGCAGCTGTCATCGAACACATTTATGCCATTTCCAAATTATGCATCCTTACCCAATCCAAATATTGACTTAAGGTTTCCCACCTTTCGGGGTATGTTTCAGTTCACATATTGATTGATTAGTTGTAAGAGGAGAAGAAAAACTATGTGTGTGCGTGTCAGGTTTAATTAGCATTTTGAGCCACAAACAGCTTAGGCATTTTTCCAGCTTTATTTAAATGGTTGTATAAGGAAAGCATGGCGAGAAAGACATAATGGATACTAATATGTGATACTTTTAATTTATCTTAGTTTATTTCAATGGAAACAAACTATGCCAATGACAGTTATGTTTTTTTTTTCATTTTTTTAACCAAACACAGGAAGGTCTGGCAGGAAATATGCAGGCATGTAGAAAATGGAAGAAAAATGAGGCTGAAATGTATATTGGTCTGTAATTTGTGTCTCTGAGCGTGTGATTTTATTTGAGACTTTGTAACCAAAGCTCTTGAAACAACACCTTGGCAAAACCACTGACATGCAGGATAATAACTCTACAATGTTAGATCTCAGCAGAAGGAGCTTTCATCCTAGGAATTCTATAGCGGACACATATGCTTTTACTATATGAAGCCCTCAGGGAATTGGACCCACAGAAATTATGGGGATACTGTAACATACACCAAAGCAGAGAAACAATGTCTGTCTTTCCAGGAATCCAACTAACAGCCACTATTGAGGTCTTTGCACTAAAACTTTTCTCAAAGGCATCTCCTGGGACATTATTGTATATCCCTGAACATAATTGTTTTTTTTTCCTTTTTTTTTTTCTTAAAGATTCCCTAGTTTAATTTACTTTGAGCATGACACTTGATAAGATTGCTGGTGGCTATGATTAAATAAAATAAAATAAATAAATAAATTGTAAATTGTGAAATCAGAAGATACAACTGCTTATAATGTCCTTGTTTCAAAGTTTACAATTTCCTAAACTGACATGATGATATGTTCAAATATCTTGGAAGTTCGTACCAAATATTTCATCTCTACTTYTAATGATATTTGATTTTTTTTGCATAACTTTTATTTAAAAGATGTACAATATACAGGATGCATTAGCCATAGAAGGAAAGATGCACTGTATCAGGTTATAGCTCTGGGTGCTAGTTTCCACCTATAGTCCCTGACCCAGCCCACTATTATAAAAGAAAGAGGAAGAAAAATCAAAAAGGCATCATAAATACACAATACAAAGGCATATCAATCATAGTCAATATAAAATCAATTTATAATATCAATGCTCCCAAAAATATGTCATCGTAGACTAATAATAGCTCCTACACTATCAGTTGGTTTGTGGTATTACTGTATGTCTTTCACATCCAAAGCAGTACTCACATGCTGCCACTGCTCTCGGATTAGAGGCCGATAACGAAGGAAGTACTTCAAAGGGAAGCTGTCAATATCAGGCCAGGTGGCCGGGCTTTGCCAAGACACCTCCAGCCTTCGAGGGTTGGAATGGATCGGAGTGGCTGTCACACGCTCTGGAGGGTCTGGTTTTACTGTGAGGGGTGGACAAAAAAACAGTTGTRGTGTTATAAACATATTATAATCACTCGTTTTCTTTGTAAATCGAAAATTTCTCATTGGACTGTCTTCATTGTTAAAACATTTTTAACACGAATGAATGGTTTACTGGCTGATTGGGACTGGCTGAACCTGAAGCCGTATTACGACAAAATAACTTCAAACATWCACCACAACTCTGCGGCCTTGAATTAAATTAAACATGTTTTAAACTGGTGGTACTTGGAGACA